GAAAACTGGCTAGTCCGTACTCCCTCCGTTCCAATTTATGTGAACCTGTTTGACTGGGCACGAAGTTTAAGAAAAAATGAAGACTTTTGGAATTTGTGGTCCTAAACAACTCAAAAAGGGGCCCAGAGTATTTGTGTGGTTGTAAAAGTAGAAATTGTTACCAAATTTAGAAAGGGGTCATTGTATTTTGAACGGACCAAAAAAGAAATAAGTTCACATAAACTGGAACAGAGGCAGTATTATTTTTACAGTCATTGGAGGGGATTCGGCTCCAGTCCAATGAATATTATCTTGGATTAGGGGATGCAGTTAACCAAACAATCTTGTCCCTTAAATTATGAAGGGGCCGGACACGTGTAAGACAATGAAGGGTTAACCGGGGGAAATGGAGAGATGGCTCACCAGAGATGAGCCAGATCCGACCAAAAGTGGTAGAATTTATTTGCTTCTTTTTATTTTATATTTTATAATAAAAAATAATAGTGTTACAAGATTTTATTAGGTTAGCAGTTGGTTTATATAAGCTTTGTTATCAATAATCCACACATGTGAAACCAAAGCAAAGATTGTTTTTGGTGGAAATATTGTCCCTAGGGGACTACTTAGTGACAGCCATACATACCCCAAAATCCCTTCGTAAAGTCACAGTGTTTGGTAGCACTATAACATATCTTGAAGGACACTGCCCTATGTTTCAAAAATAACTTAATTAATAACTGCAATTATGTAACATAAATATATAATTAGCGTAATCCAAAAAAGTTAGGTGCGTGCATTACCTGGCAATATTTAAGTGATTGAATTGTCTCAGTCTCATTAATGATTAATTAGATAAAGCCATAATTTATTGAAGATTAATCAATTTTATTGTAATAATAGAAGGAGGAATAGCACTCCACAAATTAAGGGGAGAGAGAAAAAGAAAGAGGAATCTAAGAGCTCGTTTGGATATTAATCAATTTTTTTTCGCCTTTTTTTGAAATTTTACAATTCTTATGTCCAAACGCCCGCTAAGGCACTAACAAAAGAACTCAATGTATATATACACTCTACATCGCTATTTGCTAATAGTAGATCTTAAAAACTAAGTTCACTCTTTTTACCGTTAGATATGAAAGAGCGAGAGAACGCGACTCCTAGAGATAGACAGTGCGGGTGTTAAATTATTAATCACAAGTTCACAATATAGTAGCAAAATATACGCTTATGGCTTATACACTCTTTTCTTTTTTTTAAAGTACAATTTCTAACACATCTTTGCTAAACTAGTTAGCCACGTGCTTTGCCCATTATGCATAGGAATCTATGACCTAACAATTCTATATTTCTATTTAGTTGGTTAAGACGTCGAATATATAAAATAATAATATGCCCCTTTGCTTGACTTGGATTTTGGATAATCTCACGGACGATCCATTTAATTAATCAAGGGAAACCTATATTTTTTTATTAGTTTGTGCTCTGTGCACTGCATCTTTACAAAGGATAATACAAAACTTTACAAGTACATAGATAGGTGCACCTTCGATCAATCAACAAGTTAAATATTTAGCCAAAGACCATATCTTTAACCATTTAGGAATACTTCTAAGAATTTAGTTTGTTAATACTTAGTAATATATATTGTTAAAAGACCTTTGTTTAACGTATAATGTGATTCTTAGTATATGTAGGAGGACAAGGGACAGAGCTAGAAGCATGAATACGGATTCGGTCGAATCAAGTACCTTTTGACAAAGAGTTTGTGCTAAGAAATTTATTAAAGGAATTTTTACCTCCTATAGCAAAGGTTAACACCTTATTTATTTTAAATAAATACCATTTAAAAAAATTCTATTCTATAGATACCTTTTAATGTTTATAGCAAAATATCTAATTTTGGTTACCTCCTACCCCTAAGCCACTAAATACGCTATTCAGTTACACTATTTTCTTTCTCTCTCTACTTTGATACATGTCATTCTCTTCCCCCATTCCCTGAAAACACGATGCTCAATCTCAAAATTCCTCTCACCCACATCACCTACCATTAGTGTTTCTGTTTTTAACTTTTTGTTTTGGCTCAGTTAGGAGGCAGAGGAATAGGCCGTCCAAGTAAAACTCGGAGTATCTTGCACGTTTAAGAGATCAGGGTTTTACAAGTGTTGAATCTTTATTTTGAATTTTAATAACAATTAACCTGCATGCCTGCGTCCTTTTAGGGACATTGATAAAAGGAATGATACAGAGAAGAAGTGCCTTAAAGAAATACCATTGAATTTCGCTGTATTCCATTTGCTATCAATTAGCAGTGTAATCCCCAAATCGGCTACTATACAGGATGCGTGGGAACAGTGAGATTCAGGGTTTTTGCTCGACGGCGTGGATTCGCCGGAAATTAGGGTTTGTTCTTGAACAAAGACGACGAAGTTTGGGGCTGAGCAACTTGATTTTCTGTTAATATATTTCAATATATTTTCAACGTATCACGCTGTATTTTTATGTATTTCATTGTCTTTTTTTTCATTGTAATTCAATGTATCTCGCTGTATTCCATGTATTTCATTGTATTCACTGTCTTCTTTTTCATTGTATTTCAATGTATCCCGCTGTATTCTATGTATTTCATTGTATTTAGTGTCTCGCTATATGCCATGAATGTATTCACATATTTTTTTTAATTAATATAATTTATGTATTCAAATGTATTATATAATTTCTCTGAAGATTGTTATATTTTTGGGGTATTTTTCGGTTGAGAATCTTTTTTATAACTGAAAATACAAAATTTGTGTGTTATAATTGAGTTTGTTGAGTTATATTAGGAGTCTATTATGTTAATTGATTCACTTTTGGTTTAAAAATAGTGTAATCCCCTGTTTCACGCCGTGAATACAGTCGAATACAATAATCTGTCCAGCTGTAATCTCATGTTTCACGCCATGAATACAGTCGAATACACTCGAATACCACAACTGATTAGCTGGACTTCCCTGATTCACGCCTATTTTTGCTACTGTATTCATGAATACAGTAGCTTAAATACATCTAATACATCTTATAACAACAGAAAATGTATCTACAATCCGTAATGTAGCAAATGGTATCTATAGATAGCTAATTACCACTAAAAGATAGTGCTTCTCTTTATTAAATATGTACAAAATATAAAATTTAGAAGCCAGTTCTTAACACTTGAAGCATCGTTCTAAAATTCAGAACTCATAAAATTAAAACCATGGCCTCGTTTCTAAGAAAGACTAGTATTACTATTTTGATTAAGGATAACGACATGTTCTATTGTTATTATTAGGAATTTTTTTTGTTTTAATTGATAATAGTAAGGGATGTAAGTCATCTTTCGTTAATTTAGTAATGTCTTCGTATTAACAAACAAAAGCTTCTTAATGACTTTTTTTTTTTGGCTTAAGGACGAGATATTATTTTTTATCTCTTATATATGGACGTGTGGTAAATATAAAGCCAATGTTCTTTCAAAAAAATGCCAACCTTTAGGTATCATATGTATTGATTTGGTTAATCCTTTTGTTAAATAATCAAAGAAGATCTCAAAGTACTAGTGTATCTATTAAAAGAAATAACCACGGCGGAAGGTATGAATATGTATCCCCCCACCCCTCCCCCCCCCTACCCCTAAAAAAAAAAAAAAAAAAAAAAAAAAAAAAGAGGAGCAAAATCGTATCTTTGCATTGTCAACGTGATTGTAAGTAATCAATGAAGAAAATAAATAAATACGTTTAGTTGAACTAGCACTTATCCTTGCAATTGGGGTATGTCTTTATCACGAATTTAAATCGGCCAACCGTATCTAATCACATCTTTACTAGAAACAAAAAAAAGATGGAAAAATTACATAAATGTCCCAAATAAATCTCAACTTACCAATCTCTAGCCATTAGTCATAGACTTACCAAAACTAGCCAACAAAAATTGAAAAACCAAATAATAGGGTTCTTTCTCTCAAAGAATCACATGCAAAAATCACCTTCCATATTTATAAGCGTGATTAGCAACATTAGATACAAGACGGAAAGGAAATTTCATGGACGGGGTAGCAAATAAGGTGATGAAATACAAAAATCTATACAATATTCTAAAAATCTAAACAAAAAAGGAACTTTTTCAATGGGTATAGTTGAAATTCATTGAAAATATATAGATAAGTCAATATACAAAATTTGAGGAAGATTGGAGGTGATTTGGACTGGTTTTGTATCAAAATTCGTAAATAAATCGAGTTCAAAAAAGTCTTCTGCGACACATGTATCAAACATGTATCACGCATGTATCACACACACAAGTATACATGGATATACATGTGATACACAATTGATACAAATATGATACATATGTGATACACAAATGATAGATAGTGTGATACACATATCATTTTTTTTCATATTCAGCTTTTACTTCGAATTTTCAATTCAAACCACCTCAAAACTTCACCAAATCATCCCAAAACTGAGATTCAAGCTTCTTAAGTTATGCCCAATCTATTCTAATAACACCCACTCAAAACAAAGCATAAATTTGATATTTTTTTGCTACAAATAGCTAATTGGCTAATTTGGCTAATATTAGTAATATTTTATCAATTGGCCAATTTTTGTAATGAGCTACTTATAAATGGACATAGCTGGTAATTTTCCAAAAAAGATTAGGCATACCAGTAATGTCATAGTTGACATTAACCGTATAATTAAGAGAAAACTACCCTGTATAGCCCTTCAAAATTTTAATAGCCCAAGTTTTTCCCCTTGGACCCGAAATGTCCCTCCGGCCCAAACTTATTACATCTACTAGCCCATAATCCATAAAACACCCACGCCTTTTAACTCGCTCGTTAACCCGGCTCTCTCAAAACACCTTTCTTCTCAAACACACCTTCAGCATTTTTACTCTTGGTTTCAATGTAAGTCAAAATTTCAGTTGGTTTTCCGATTTTTGTTCATAGTCGACTCTAGGTTTTTCGATTTTTGTTCATATTCATCTCTATAATGGGGGAAAAGAAGTCTTTGATGAAGAAGAAGAAAAAAAGGAAGATGAAGGCATCTCCAAATTCTCTTAAATTAGCCGGTCAATTAGTGAAATATGACCCTAATTTCATTAGGAAAGATTATGACGATTTGAAGATTTGCCAGAATTTGGGTGCGATTTGGGGCATGCAACCCATAAATCTGTTGAATCGATGCAAAATACCCCTAGTGAAGGTAAGCAAAATACCCCTAGTGAAGGTAAGCAAAATACCCCTATTGATAGAAGGACTCGTTCTCATAGCGGGACTCCCAGCGATAGAGTAACGAGGTCACACACTGCTCAGCATGTAGTTGTTGAAAAAGGCACAAGTTCAAAAAGAAAGATTAAAATAGTGGGAAAGGATATTGTGAAGGATAAGGGTAAAGGTTAAAAGTGATGGGGACGATGTTCCATCAAAAAAGAGAAAAGTTCATGCTGATAAAAAATGTTCTAGTTCATCTGATTTGAAGGTATTTTTTAATGATATAACTTTGACTTGTGTGCGGATAGTTTATTTTAATATGTAAAAATTTGAGATAACCAATGTAGCAGTTATGTTCCAGATTTGTATATAAAATGTATCATTCTTTTTCATATTGTATATAATGTGTATCAAGTCAATAAGTAATGTGCAACTTTTGTATATAAAGTGTATCATCTATCCACATATTGTATAAGTAATATTTAAAGTGCGTAATTGTGATTGTTATGAAGCTTATATATATTTATATTTTTGTGTTGTTTGCAGCTTTGGGATTACTATGTTCCTTTGGGTGATCATTATAGTACCCGTATTAGTGTGCATACAAACTGCAGTATAGTGAAACATTTGAAAGATAATTTGGATGATCAGCAGATTGAGATGTTTAGAAGAACATGTTTTGGTTATTTTGTGGACTTGCCCGAATTTTTTATACAGAACCAACTTATCCATTCACTATTGCTTAGGGAAGTAGTGTCACCTAAAGATAATGAGTTATGGATTAAAGTGAATAGCACCAAGTTGCGCTTTGGACTTGCAGAGTTTTGTATTATCACAGGTTTAAAGTGTAATGGTGATCCCGATAAGGATTATGAATCTGTGCAGTCGAGTCGGTTAATGGAATTGTACTTTCCAAGCATGTCGAAAGTGTCTAAGAAATTGTTAACTGACTGTTTCTTAAAAAAGATGTGGAAATCTGATGAGGATGCATTAAAGATTGCAGTATTGTATTTCATTCACAGTTTCCTGTTTTCTATTACGAATGATGATTTGATTACAAAGAATGATTTTCTGTTGGTTGAATCTGGTGATTTTGAGACTTTCCCTTGGGGAAAAGTGGTTTTTAATGCTACGTTGGAGTCAATGAAGGATAAGGTTCGTAGCAAGAGAGAGATGTACCGATATGGTGGTTTGCCTTTGGCATTCCAGTGTTGGTTTTATGAATGCTGCCCCTACAGTCGCAAAAACCTCGCTTACCGGATTGGAGAGCTTGTTCCACGCATACTTAACTGGCAAGTAAAGAAGAAGGTGACGTTTAAGAGGTTGAGGAAAGAGTTTTTTGTTTTAAGTCAAGATCAGGTAAAAAAATATACATTTCTGATACATAAATTATACATTTCTGATACATTTCTTATACATTTCTGATACATGAATTATGCATTCCGATACATTTATGATACATTTTTGATACATTTATGATACATTTCTGATACATTAATTATGCATTCTGATACATTTATGATACATTTATGATACATTTCTGATACATTAATTATGCATTTCTAATACATTTCTGATACATAAGTTGTCTTTTTTTTTAAAAAAAATCATGATTGCTAACTTTTATTTATTTATTTGTAGTTGGTATTTGGCAACATTTCCCCAACAAATGATGAACAAACAAGGCTTCAATTGCATGACTTTGTTCCGGTTTGTGAAGATAAAAATGAGATTCATATTGAATCTGGAGTCGTGGCTGAAGTTAAAACAAATGCTAAGAAGCACTCCAAAAATAAGCCGAAATCACAATCTATCAACAATGAGAATCCGGATCCACTGCCCAGTAACTTGAATTCAAGCGAGACAGAGCTGAAACTTCTGAGAAGTGAAATCAAGAAGGTACAATTCTATTTTGTCTTTCAGCAGTTCTGACAACTTAATTGATATTCGGTTTCACTTTTCCTTTTATAGGTAAACGACAAGGTTTCATCTTTGGAGAACTTAATGATTTCCTCATTCGAAAAGGTTTTTAAAGCTCTAGGTGAACGCGATGCTTCAAAGGTATTCTCATGACTATGCTTATTTGTTATTTTTACCTTTTACTATACTTTTACAACTTTTTGTATATTTTTTCTGAACAGGGTAATCGAAAAGATGACGACCATCATGATAAGAACGTTTCAGAGAATAACTTTGGTAGTGAGGAAGTTATGGAGAAAAATATTGGCATTGAAGAAGTTGTAAAGAAAAATGTTGACAATGAGGTAAGTCTAGAGCAAACTGTTGATGTTATGGAGGGTGTGGTGAAGGATTCTATACAAGATGGTAAAAGTAGTGAAGGAGTTGGTGATGACGAAGCCTGGATTGAGGATGCCGAGCCTGAAATCACTGCAATCACCCAGCAGTTTTGTGACAAAAATACTGCTAATATGGGGAGTTTGGTGGATGATTCTGTACAACTTGGTAAAAATAGTTGTGAGGAAGTTGGTGAGGACAATAGCTGGAGTAGTGATGCTGAGGCTCAAATAACTGCAATCACCCAAAAGTATTTCAATCAAAATATTGAACATGGTGATTTAGGAGTGGAGAAAAATATTGCTACTATGCAGGAAGATCGTATAGTTGTTGATCATGACACACCTGAAATGAACCCTAGAGAAAGGAAACCAGCAGGGGTCATGAAGTCACCATTCATGAACACATTTGACTCTGGTGGCACCATCCAAGTTGTTGAAAATAAGCCAACTAAGTCAAAGAAGCCCATCTTGACTATTAAGTATCCTTTTCAGGGAAATATTGACAATCCTGTTGATTTCAAAGTATTGTGTAAGTGAAACACTTTCATCAATAGAGGCTTAAGGACTAATGTGCCGTAAGTTTTGTGTTTCAGTTTTTTCTTTTTTTTTTTTTTTCTTGTTTATTTTCGTGTTATGAACCATATCTTTTTATCATGGTTCATCAGGGACGGTGTTTATACAGAGGCTAGCAATAAGCTAAAGAAAATCTTTGAATTTGGAGTTGATGATATTGGAGAAAAAAAATGGTTCTTCACATTTGCATATCCCGGCCTACCCTTGTGTGATTCAGTAAGTCAACGCTTTAACTGTAAAATATAAACTGGTGATATACATTTTTAGTTTTCTCATACTGTAATTTTCTGACTATGTGTGTATATTCTTCATTTTCAGCATATTGATGTAATTTTTTACTATTTGAGAAAGAAAGGGAAGTACGGTGTTGATGTTCCAGTAAGATTCACAACTACTGACTGTTGGTTTAACTGCTTGATTTCGAATTTGTACAAGGAGTTTTTGGAGAAAAACAGAGACATGAATTTGATTACTGAAACAGATCCAATTGCTGAGTATATACTTGGGTATTTTTTAAGATGTAATGTTCCTTGGTCTACTGTTGATGAAGTCCTTTTCCCTATAAATCTGTCTGATAAGTGGCACTGGATATTGGCGAGATTGTCATTCAAAGATCTGCGCATTTATGTATATGATTCCATGAGTGGCGCGCGACAGAATAGTGCAGTTCGGAGGTCAGTTGAGCGATACTCAGTGTTGCTCCCATATTTCCTTCATCGTATTGGTTTTTGGGACACAAAGGAGAATCCTATGGGAATCCCCGCCAATGATCCTTTTGAGATTCATGTCGTTGATGGGTTGCCAACGCAAGATAACACGTAAATTATTATTGAATATTTCTGATTCTTATTCATTTTTTGTACATGAATTCCTATTTGGATATTATCCTAACTTTTATTCAATGTTTATGTGCTACCTTGTATGTAGTGATTGTGGTGTTTATGTTGCTGCATTTGCTGAGTACATCATTCAAGGTAGCAGTATTCCTAAAGCTATTGATATTGATGGGATACGAAACCGATATGGTATATTGCTATGGGATTATGGAGTGAAGAAACAAAGAGGACATGCAGCTAGTGATGATGAGTCTACAGGTAGATTGAAGGATCAGACAAAAAAGGATAAAAAGAAAAAGAGCAAGTCGCATTCCGTTGTTGATGACAAGTCTTTGAAGGATAACAAGAAAAAGGGCAAGACGCATGCCGTTTGTGATGACAAGACTTTGAAGGATATCAAGAAAAATAGCAAGTTGCATGATGTTGGTGATGACGAGACTTTGAAGGATATCAAGAAAAAGGGCAAGTTGAAGGGCAAGATGAAGTAGTTTGGGATAGTTTAACAGAAAATTCACATGTAGTTTTAAGATGGAAGTAGTTTGGTTCTGATATTGTCTATGATTGGATACAGTTGCATACTTATATCACGTTTTATGCTTTTTGTTTGGGATGTCTTTGAACAATATGTTTGAAATGCTAATGTTGAATATTACTTTTAATTGCGACTTGTTGTGTAGTTTTCAATTAATAGTGAAATTATGAAAATTTCAGATTTTGTGTAGTTTTGACTTTTCTACAGTTTTAGTTTTGTAATTTATACAGTTTAATCTATTTCGACAGCTTTTGCATTTTCGACAGATTTTGCAAATTTAGCTGGTGTTGCTAAGTTGCTACAGGAAGTTTTGTGAACGATGTTTTGGGGGCAGCTAACTGTATATAAACTGTATAGCGACAGTCTATTTTGTATAGTGATATCTATCTGTATATTTTTTGGATAGTCACAGTCTATTGTATGTAAATTGTATAAATATACAATTTCTATTTTGTATATTTAATTGGTAATCCCTCTTTTTGTATAGTTTTTGTATGGTGACATCTATTTTGTATATTTTTTGTATAGCTATAGTTTATTTTGTATTTTTTTTGTATAGGAACAAAATATTACATATAAATTGTATAGTGACAGTCTATTTTGTATATTTTTGTATAGTAACAGTCTTTTTTGTACATTGTCATCTATTTTGTATATTTTTTTGTATAGTGACATCCATAATAGTATTTGAAATAAAACTTCCACCAATACTTTCATTATGACAAAAAGTAGCATCTTAATTCATACATCATAGAGAATCTGATTGCAAATCTCATTATTTTTCCAATTGTAATATTCAGAAGAAAAACTGTTAGAAAATACTAAATCACTGTAGCAACATCTACTAGTTGTCTTGAGGATTCCTGCATGTTCTTCTGTTATGTCCTTGTTTTCCACACAGTCCACATGTAACAGTTTCAGTATACAGATATTCATAAAGTCCCTTGCGTCGCGACTTCGTCGGTCTTCCTGGTTTGCCCTTCACTATCGGTGGTAGGACCACATTATCTAACACCTCTGTTGGAAGGTCCCATGAAGTTTCATCTGGAAGTGGATTAACTGGCACTTCATATGTCTTCTTGAAGTATTCCTTGGTGTAATAGGCAGAACAATATTTGGGTGCTTCCATGTGTGTGTAGTCCAATAGTGCCATAGCATGTGGACAAGGAATCTCATCCACTTGAAATCGTTTGCACGAGCATTCTCTTTTTTGCATGCAGACTATGTTCCGCCTTTGTTCAGCATCCATTACTACATATACATAATCGGTTGAAGGCCTCACCTAAATTTAAATAGATATCATTAGTAAAACTAAAACATGGATATGACAAGTATTAATGCATTTTTGTCAAAGTATGTTGCTCCGGCGTATGAAGTAAGACATGATAAAAGAATATTTACCGTCATCTTTTGCGACAAATAGCTATTTTCCTTCAGTACTTCATGATATTTTTTTCTTACGCCAATAAATGTACTCATTGCAGTCATTCTATTTGTATTATTCCATTCCATAACCAAATTCATCATGTAATCTAGCAAACTCATGATTGGTAGCTCTCTTGCCTCTCTGTTCCTTGCATTGAGTGACTCGACAATATTTAAAGTCATCACCATGGATCTATTAACAGTGGAATGCACCATAGACCACTTTTCATAACCAACTTGGAATAGGTAACCCCTTACCCTCTTATTAATGTTGTCCATATCTTGCATGAGGCGATTAAAATCTTCAATTTGTATGCTCTGGCCACTGCAAAAAATACTTCCCTCAGCCGGTCATGGTTCTTCTTGAACTGCTTCTTTATGTTATTCCAAAGATGAAAGATGCATACACAGTGAGATACCTCTTGATACACAATCGAAGCACCCCTCAATATGCTTGCATGACGATCCGATACGATGCACATCCTTTCCCTTTCCCCAAAAGCCTGTCTAAACATTTCAAAAAACCATTCCCAGGAAGCATCATTTTCAGAATATACAACAGCGTATGCTAGTGGAAAAATGAAAAATTTTACCTGGTTAAGCAAATAGAAAGAATCCACATGTTATTTTTGTATACACAGATATAGAACTTCTATACATATATAATTATTATACGTAGTCTGCAACATATTCACCCTGCCGCATCTTGTTGCCGCTAGCTGTTAACATTGTTCCTCTGTTTATGATTTTGAGGAATTGTCCCATCAACCACTACAATAGGGTAAGGTATTTCCATCCTATGATTGATGCATTTAGTGCGACAAAAACATACATGAAGCGCCCGCCTCTGATTTTATGTAACATTGTGAAAGAACAGGATTTGTCATTGTCACCCTCCTTTTATAGTACCGCATATATAAAGGGAGTTTATTTCCAACTTGAAGTGAACAATCGGAACGGGAATTTATTTATTAAATTTTTAGAGTCGCCACTTAGAAATTAGTGGTGTCCAAAGTCACCGTTAGATCCGACCCGAGGAGATTATGACTCTGTTATCAGTCCGCGAGCCAGAAATCCAGGTAAGGAATTCTGTTAACCCGGGAGAAGGTGTTAGGCATTCCCGGGTTCCGTGGTTCTAGCACGGTCGCTCAACTGTTGCATTTGATTTTATCTGATTTCAAAACATGTTATGTCCCATGTGCTTTTACTAGTAAAACCGCATTCATTTTTATTTTTAAGAATTGCAACGCTGTGAAAATGCATCTCGAACCACGTCGCACCAGTGGCACCCGTGATTGTTAACACACTTTGACTACGTTGAGATTTGGATTTGGGTCACATAAATGTGCACCCGAATTCAGGAAAGTGATAATTATTAAAGTAGCACTAAAGCACTACACAGTTTTATTGTTTTTTGGGGAAGGTCCGTTGAAATTCGCTAAACGACCTATCCCGGAGTCTAAAACATTTAACTTAGCATTTGTCAAGGGACCCGCAATCTATTTGCTTAGTGACCTTGAAAATTTGAGAAGACACTAATTAAGTATTCTACTAATAGAGAAGCCCCAATCCATTAGTATGTCCGTGTATTATTGCCAAGATACTCACATAGACGTTGAACAAAGTACCCAAGGAAATGTTTGAGTTTGCGGGCCTTAAAGCAGGCCCCTTACGAGAAATCAGGCCTTGAACAAACCTAATGTTTCAATAAATAGTTGCTGTCCAGGCAATGGGCCTTGTAGTAGCCCAATAAGGAGATATTAACTAATTGCTAAATCAGCCTAGCCTGGAGACAAGCCCGACTTAGTATCCTTGTCATAGTTGGGCTGTTGGTTTTGCCCAAACTCGGGCACAAAGACACCACTTTAAACCTGGGCCTGTGTCGAAGCTCAAATTGTGAAAAAACTCAGCCACTGGCCTTAAGTCATACGAGAACAAAGTCAATTAAATATGAGATATGCTGAATCTACACTAAATAACTTGCAACTATTAGTATCATCTTGTTTTAATTATAGTTTGTGCCCAGGCTTTGTAGATAATCGCAGGTCTTTGTATGATTCTAATGCGTGGATCCTATTTTTAAACTAACAGATTCCCAAGAGCCTAATTTGGCCACTTATCATTGGCCGGTTTTAAATACTATTTCGAACTCTATTGGCCTATCCAACATGAATCATCACAAAGGTTACAACAAGTAATATGAACGTTCATTAGCTTTTACAGTTCTACAAATTTCAGCTCAAAACTAAACAGTCCAATCATGTCATTAACCGCAAAAGCAGACATTAGATTCTAGCATGTGAATCGCTATAATCAGAATAATCATTGCACAGTCTATATGTACAGTCCAGTTATACAGTCCAGTTATACAGTCCAAGTTTAAATGTAAACACAAATTTAAAAGCAGGCTTAACAAATGTATCATCCATGAGTTATCTACCTAGCAAGATAACTTGAACACACATCTCAAGAGGTAAGCAAATGGGCCTTCATTTCAATATTCCCAACTCAATTGATACATCAAGTGAATCTCAAGAATATGTACCTGGAAATAAAATAGAAATGGAGGAGGGAGAGGGCAGCTTGAGGCAGTAAATGAACAACAGCCCAAAATCCAAAGCAACTAGAAACATTTCAGATCCACAAATACCAAGCAACCCAGGAATGACTAGCAGCAATTAAACACCAAAATGCAGATGAAAAAACCAGATATGATTGGATCAACATACCACTCAAAATCAAACCCAGAAGTCCTGAACCTGAACCAAACAGGTCTAGAAGATGCCCAAACTATTTTTAAAAACCTTCCTGTTTTGCAACTGAAATCTGATCTACAAATGAAATCAAAACTTGATCTAAGAGTCCCCAATAGAACAGTACTATTTTTGGATTTTCTACCTGTTTTTTCTTTGTGGTTTTTGAATTGTATTTGTTTTTGAATTTCAGACTTCAAATCTGTCAATACTGGGGGTGAATTTTAGGCTCTCAAACTTGTGAATCAAGGCAAATTGAATGCCTATTATAGTTGAACTTAGGTCCAATTCAGATTTTCCCTTTAACCTTAGTCCATATTCTAATTTTCAGTGTTTAACCTTTTATTTTCTGACTTGTTTACACAGCAACTAACTTAAGTTTTTAGAATTACACTATGGTCCACCCTAAAGGTTCTATGCTATTTACAATCCTACTCTACCCTTACCTTTTCAAAACTACCAAAACCTGCTGAAAGTACCCTTTTTTCCATGTCGAGACTACCCTTTAAGCCTTCTGAAATTGCTAGACTACCCAAGCCCCTTTTAATCTAACTTAATATTGACTATGTTATTTCATCTAACCTAAATCAGCTTATAAACCATTCAATTATCTGAATATTGAATTAAGAAACAATTATAATTTAAATTGGAACTAACATCACCACCTGCCATTAACCAGACAGTGTTTGAACAGATTGGAACAATAGCTAAACCAAGAATTGAAATAAAACACAACCAAATCAAACTCTGCTAAACAATGCTATTAGAATCACTAGAAACAAGAATAAAGGATCAGAAGAAAGAAAACATACCTAATCGGATTAAGGGCTCGGACAACTTTGTTGCTGTTGAATCCTTGAGATTCTTGACACGTAACATCCCCAATCAATGTATTTTCATAAGACCAACATGATTGAGGAAGTTACGGTCAGAAATCTCAAAGGTTTTATCTAGGGTTTTTTGCCAGTTTTTTTTTTAAGATCTAAAATTGGGGGAATTCCAGTAAGATTTTACGATTTTTGGTTGGCGGTTAACGATGAGGAAGCCATGGGGACTATGGGTGTGAATTTGGCCGGTTTGGATATAAGTTGTGTTTTGGCCGGAACTTGATTCAATATTCGAGAACTTTGGCTAGGAA